TATCCACCTTTCTGTCATATATAACACATTCCATATTATTATACAGAATAACATTTTTTTGCGACAAATTGTATTTTTTCAATTTTTTTTTACCGTGGGTGTCGTGTGCAAGGTTATTTATTGCATGACACGATCACCATACAAGTTGTAACTTTTACTCCTTATAAAGATTTTGTAATACTGTGAAAAGAAAAAATCGCTTAGAAACATCGCGTTTTGTAGATAATTATGAAAGCTTCTTAAGAATGAATATTCTTCTACAAGATCAACTACACTAAAGCACGTAAAAATAATCTTTTCATATTCTAAAGTTTTTTTATAGACAAAATGCTCCCAATAGTGTTTTGAAAAAAGCTTTGAATTTTTATCGCCATTTTTATTTTTAAAGAATGACTATGAAATAGCCGAGAAAAATTTCTTTTCTTTTTAAAAAGTAAATCTTAGTTGAAATTAGCTTGAAGAAGCCCAGATCGTCTGGGAAATGATTTATTTTGTGAGTTATTTTGTATATTTAAGTTTTCTGTAAATATTTAAAACCGAAAATCGATAACTGTATTTTTATTAAGTTTATATTTATACATAGGAAATTAAACTATTTTTCCGGATTTATATCGCGTATATTTGTTTTTTCAAACAAACCGATGTTTCGGGCCCTTTACAGGTCAACCGTGGCCGTGGGACCTGTAAAGGCCCGAAACGTCGGTTTGTTTGAAAAACAGATATACGCGATTTGAATCCGGAAAAATAGTTTCATTTCCTATGTGTAACAATCGCGAAAACCTAAGAACTTATACTTAAATATTTAAAATTCAGCGAGCGCATAACTTTTATGACAGGTTTTACATTACTTTTCACAATGTATTTAAAGTCGCACGTCAATTCGCGCTTTCTAAACGATTAAACATTGCGCGAAAAAGTCAGAAATATTATATCTAATTTCGCCATGTTGCAATTTTGACAGTTTATATTTTGTAAGACATTAAACTTGAAATCTATTAGTATTAATAGAATTGCATCTTATGTTTGTAACGCTTTAGTATTTTGGTTTTAAAATAGCATTACTAAGAAAACTATCGTAGACTATAAATTATCTAAAAACTGTCTACAAGACTAAATAAAAACTGTCTACATTCTACAAATGGTCTTGTAGCATTCTAGAAGGGTTTTTTGAGAAAAAAGATAAAAATCACTCTTAACACTACCCAGAGTACTAATTTCTCAAAGCACTCTTGTGATCTACTAATAAAGTTGTGCCCACTTTTACTTTAAATTATCTAGAAACCTTCTTTGAGATATCTTGAGGAAATTTGAACTCTTAAAATATTCAATCGAATTAAATTCTATTAGATATTTTATAGATATATTTTTGATTTTTAGAGATATATTTAGATATGAGTATGCTGCTTGGGTGGTGCAATGCCATGCTTACCAGATTCGACGTACGGGCGTCAAATTTGGTATGGGGCATAGTAACAGGTGACGAAACATAGATTTATAGTTACGATCCCAAAACAAAGTAGCAATCGAGCGTATGGGTCTTTCGAGATAAGCCGAAACCAACCAAAGTGGCATGCGTACAAAGTGCCTCTAGGCGGATGATTGCTTCTTTTTATAATAAAACTTGACACATGGCTACTGTTGCTTTGGAAAATCGTTGTATCGTGAATAGTGATTGGTACACAACCATTTGTTTGCCGGAAGTTATGATACACTCCGTAAAAATAACCGTAAACGCCGTATCATCTTGCACCACTATAATGCCAGTTCTCACACGGCCAGACAGACAAATGACTTTTTGAAGGTGAAGAACGTTGACCTTATGAGCCATAACACGTACAGTCCCGACCTGGCACCTTGTGACTTTTATTTATTTCCGAAAATTGAGTATCAGTTACGCGGTCAACGATTTTCATCACATGAAGAGGCTGTCGACGAGTATGAAAAACATGTTTCAGATATTTTCACGGAGGAGTGGCAAAAATGCTTTCAAAATTGGTTCGTTCGTATGAAAAAGTGCTTTAACGCTAATGGAGTATATTTTGAGAAGCAATAAGTTCATTTCTGAGCGTATATACTATTTTTTTCCTATTCATTCCGGAAACTTATAGTGCGGCCCAGGTATAAGATCGTTACTCCTTCGAATTGGCAGTACTGCACGAACAGCTTGTAATGCTACATAGACTTCAGATAGATGAATAGGACGAGGTACAAATAAGTGGAAAGTTTGAGTTCGAAACCGATTATGGTGTACATCAGCTGATATCCATAGTTTCCACTTCCCCTTTGAGCCTTCCGAAGATTTCCAAGGTCCAATTTCAAATAAGATTTTTTGAATTGAATATAAGTGAGCTAAAGGAAAGAAATGCCCAAGTTCCACACTGGTGGACATAGGTGAACTACGGAAAGAAATAATTGCCCGTGAGAGAGTTCGTCCAGGGAAGTACTGCACCTTACCTATTTCTGCCGCCAAACCGTAATATGAGTGTTCGCGCCGGTAACTCCACTGGGCGACGGAGGGGGCTGCGCGGGAATGCGAAGTAGAAACGTCAGTGAGAAAAAAAAATGTGACATTACATGCTATGGCTACGGACCAAGTGCGACTGTTAGTTTGATATATATTTAAAATTAATTCCTTGTAATCAAAGTACAGAATATACATTGTTAAAACCGTTAAAAGCATCAATTCATTGTGTCGTTCAATCCTGAACATCGAATAGACAATTTATCAAACAATGAGCATTACTGAGTTCCGGTTTTGAAAAGTAAGAGTACTGGGGAAAATACAGACACATGAGACTTGTCAACTCATGTCTCAGGGTGACGAGCGCAGTGGCAGTGACCCTTAGATATTCGTAAGTTAATGCTCTGGCACTGTAACTGTTATGGACAGGCGTGTCGCTTACCAACAGGCGCACGACTTGTTCATTCCGTCACTTGGTATCATAGAAAAAAATATGTCTATGATTCGCGAAGGCGACGTTTCTGTTCATTGATTTCGTTCGTGGTAGCGGAATCAGTCGTAATGCTGTTGATCGCAGGCTCCGGATGTTGATAATAAGATAGGTGGTAACTTTGTGGAACGCTCCAGGCATAGTACAATAAGACAAGGAGGGCGACTCCAGAATGTTCGGCACATCAATGCCTACACGTCGTTCAAAGCATAGGGTTGTCACATAATTATTATTAGAGTGAATAAATTCATTAATTCATTCATTCTTTCGTTAAGTCTTTCATTCATTCATTCAGTTACTTTAGTTGTACCTAAATGTAGCAAAACTTAATTAGAAAAAAATAAAGAGTTCATCACAGTATTCTCGCGCGTTATTCAAATAACCTTTATTAAATGCAATACATACTTATCGACATTTTTATACTTTGCGAGAGAATGATTATAAAATAATAATATAATAATAACGCACACACTCAACATAGCCCCGCACTAGGGAAACCCTGTGTCGCGGGTGCCATGGACACACACATAGACAACCACAAATTACACCCAAACTCACGAGAGAAATAAATGTAAGCCATACAAACATTTCTCCCGGCCCGGGAATCGAGCCTGGGACCTCTGCGTGGCAGTCCGGCGTGGTAACCGTTCGACCACGGAGGCAGTTATTAAATACATAGTAATTAAATGTTGAACAGTTCTAAATTTGAGTCACTTTTGTTCAAATCACCATACAAGTCTACTTAATGTATTTTTTTAACCACGGAAAGAATGCTTCAATTCTATAATGCCCATAATAGTTGCAGTGCCAATCAGAGCTTTAAGTCGCAAAGATCTGAGGAGCACTGCGACTGCGCCCGTTACCCTGAGATATAAGTTTATAAGTCCCATGTACCTGTAATTTCACCAACACCCTTTTACTCTTCGAAACCGGAACGTAGTAATGATCATATTACTGCTTAGCGGCAGACATAGGTAGAGTGAGTACTTCCCTGGACTAACGCTTTCACAAAGAGCTCTTCCACTACTACTTTAAATTTTCTCAAGTGATTCGGAAAGTGACTACCAACAGTCCGAAAGGTTTATTTTGGAGATTGACATCTCTATTTTCTTCAAAGAACTCTTTGTCACGTTCTTACAGTTTTACATTTCAATGAAACGTTTCAAACGGTCCACTCGGAAAGTTAGCAGTAAATTACATTAACACGTACATAGTAAATTATTTTCTTTATTTTAATTTTACAGCAAATGGGTATGAGATTAAAAAAAAACTCAAATTCTAGACGCTTTTTCCGCATATTACTCAAATAGCAGCCAATAATTCGCAGAGCGGTGTAACGAGCGGTTGGAAAATTGGAGTTTTGGTGAAAAACGATGCTATTGTATTTAATCGTCAGTCGAGCATAGAATAAAACGAATGAAATTTAATTTTAGATGAAAATGCGAGATTAAAAGTATATTAGAGACTATAATATATTATGTATTAGATCTAGATTTGAAAAATAGTTCAATTCGTATAGTAGGCCATGCAATACAGGATTTACTTAAAGATATGTATGATCGATGTGGAAAGATTGTGTTTGATAATTTTTCATTACAATCAAATTTGCAGATTTCAAAAATGAGAACTATTGAGTCTAGCTTAGAAAAAACATTAAAACGTTGTTATAAACTTCTCAAAGAAAGATTGATTTGTCAATTATACAAAAAATTCTACAATAACATTTACATTTATTTACAATAAGACTGAAAAGGACAAATTGTAAGATCCAACGTGCTTGACTGCCAGTATGGGTGTCCTCTAAATTTAATTATAAGTCCATAGTCCATAGTGTCAGACTAAATTAGAAGTTTTTAGATTTTTGACAAGAATTTTGTTCTGTACACCTAAGTCATACACAATATCAATAGAAGTTCGCAAAAATCATAGAAGTTATCTTTGAAGTTCTCAACCTGCAAAGTATATGTTATTTTAATTTCTTGGAGCCAAACCTGATACTGTTTCTTCCATATAAGGTTATCCAGAAGGTAGTTATTATGTATTTCTCACCTTACAAGTCTTGGTTGTGGTGCTAGCCAACTGTTGATGTCTTCTGGCGACGACGCAGGATATCCTGGCGTAGACGTAAACCATCACAGCCATGGGTAGGAAGAAAGAGCCCATGGCTGAGAAAACCACGTAGCCAGGGTTTTGGTGGTATCGACAGACGCCGTTCGTGTTGTGATCTGGTTCGTACCTGAATAAAAAAACACTATGTAACTACCTCAAATCGGTTACTTAAAAAGGATTTATTTCCGATGTTAATAGATACGGTTTTTTGTTTTCAACATCACTTAGCGCTATTTGGCTACAGAGGGTACGCAGGTTTGTTATCTTCATTGCTGCAGCAGTACGTAAGTTTCCGATTCGACCGTCTTAAGTACCTACGCAAATAATAAATTAACCTTAATTTACGGTTTAAAGGGGAGAGAAACTCCAAAAGAAGATTCAGATGGATTGTGTAAAAGATAACAATTACTTTATTTGGAATATAAATCAATAAAAAAGAAATAACATAAATGTGCATAATAAATCAAACATGTCAAATAAATAGACCAGATAGTAGAAATTTTTGGGAAACGAACTTTCTAAATTGGTCCATATTCTAATTGGTTCATAGTATAAATAATTTCCTAGCTTGAGATCAAATCATTAATTAGTGTTGTATTTTTCTAAAAAAAAATAAGTGCGTATCTGACATCTATCTCACCTGATTGAAGGTGACTATGAGGTTGACGACAAAACATGCATACCTAAACTGCGTATAGCTAAATCGTGTATTTGCTATCCAGAAACAATGTGTCAGAGCTATATGTAGAGTAGGTCCGCTCGAATCTTGTAGACCATTTTTTAGAAAGCTAAATCTTCTAACGGAAGCGTATGTATGAGGTATGCATGTTTGTTAAAAAAAACTTGGTCTTATTTACTAGGAAACGTGTATGTAATTTTTTTAACTAGATAATAATAATAATAACAATAATAATAACGCACACACTCAACATAGCCCCGCACTAGGGAAACCCTGTGTCGCGGATGCCATGGACACACACATAGACAACCACAAATTACACCCAAACTCACGAGAGAAATAAATGTAAGCCATACAAACATTTCTCCCGGCCCGGGAATCGAACCTGGGACCTCTGCGTGGCAGTCCGGCATGGTAACCGTTCGGCCACGGAGGCAGTTGAAACCACATAGCTGGCTAACTATAAATAAGACTACTTGCTTTTATAGGAATTGCTATAACTTGCCCATACAAATATATAATGTTTTGCCTGCAGTTATCGCAGATTTACCTATAAAAATATTTTAAAAAAGTTATTTGATTTGCTATGTGATCTGTGTTTATACGATATCAAAGATTTTTTAATAATAAAAAGAAATTGACATTTTGTTTGTATTTCACATTTTGTTTATATTTGTGATTTTCTTACTTCTTTGATATTGTTTAATATATGATTTTATTGCTGTTGCTATTTATTGGCATTTTTACTTAATTTTATATGACATTGCTTATTTGACAAATTGTACAATTTTAATTTATGTCATTATTTAACTTCAATTTATTTTCATATTTGCGTACCAGTATCTGGTGCAACACGTGTTTTTGACACCTTGTATAATATGTATAGTGTATAAATATTTCATTTCATAAATAACGCTTATTCACTCTCGAATTAAATAAGCCCAAGTTATAGGGTTCAAGCAATAAGTCTGCAGGCAGGGAATTCCACTCCATAGCCGTTCAACATTTGTATGCAGCAGAACGAGATTTGCGGACCGTACAAAATCCTGAGGAACTATAGGATGGCATCTATAGCCGAATTTAAGTAGCCTTCTATGCAAAGCATACACGAATTACCTTGGAAAAAAAACGGCACAAAAGAGAACACGCACGTTTCATGACAACTGGGTACGGGAATTTTACTCACATTACCATTACGCCCTTTCAGAATCTTGACTACAAAGGATAATTCCAAGCTTCTAAATCAAACCACGAACAAAAGAAAACCGTAAACTCGTAAACCATTAAAGGGCATGAACCGTAACCGGTAAACGGTCGTCATATAGTCGTGATGTACAACTTCCGGAGGATACGATCTTTATCCTAATGGATCCGTGTTCTTATTAGATACTGAAAAATATGAAATCAGAATATCTGCACAGCCAACGTTAAAAAATATCTGATAATCTTCCCTTGTATTCGCAGTAGAGCTTCCTGTGAAAGAGTTCGTCCCGAGAAGTACTGCCACTTTATCTATTTTTGCCGCCAATCAGTTATGAGCAGTAAGCGTTTCCGTTTTGAAGGGTGCTGGTGAAATCACAGACTTATGAAACTTGTCAACTTGCAGGCGCGATGGCAATATCCCTCAGATCTTTTGCGATTTAAAGCTGGTGGCACTGCAACTGCTATAAATAGGTGTGTCGCTTAGCACCTGTTTTTTTTTTTTTTTTTTTTTTTTCGCCATTTCTTTCACCATATATCCATTCACCGTTAAGTAAATATTTTAATCACACTTTCTTAAATTTCCATCTCTCATACCACCTAAGCATACTATTTCATTCTCCTGACAGCATGATTCGTACAAACGAAGTTTGTTTCTAGTTTAGACATTTATTAACCAAAGTCTTTGAAATTCAGTAGACATCATGTAGACAGAAACCCAAAAACTAATATCAAAGTTTATGGTATGTCAGTTTCCGATTAAACTTTATAGTTTAAAATTACACAAGCTCAAAAACTTCAAAATTGTCAAATAAAATATACAAAGATTTTTTTAAAGGCAACATAAAACTGTTTATACTTTTAAAAAACACCCAAGTTCCAAGAAAAAAAGAAAATTCTTCATATTAAAACGTTATACCGAAAGCGGAAGTAGCCTAATATCTGACTATGACTTGATTTTGTAAGTTACGTTATTTTGTGAACGGTAAGCGACCTTTACCTCTCGGTATACGGCAGAAGAGAACATCGTGATATAATCAGCGGGTTAAAAAAGATTCACAACCATAAGGAAACGTTTGAACTCTAACCCGTACTAGGCCTAAGTGTCAGGCTAAATCGTCTCTTGTACCACCTTGTGCAGGTGCTGACCGGGCACTAGAGGTGTGTAGCCGGTGGGATGAGCAGCGCCGCACTCTGACGGGGACTGTAGGGCAGGACCTCTCGCTGCCGAGTGTGGTTGCCGCCATGCTCGATAGCGAGGAGTCCTGGGAGGCGGTGGCCTCCTTTTGCGCAGAGGTTATGTCGCAAAAGGAGGCCGCGGAGCGGGTGCGCGAGGACGCGGCAGACGCGCACCCGCTCCGGCGCAGACGTACGGGGAGAAGGCGAAGGCAGTTCGCTGCTCGCCTGATCCCCTAGTGAGACCAGCGGGCTCTGGACAGGGACTCCGGAGTCTGCATTGCACGGCCTCACTCGTCTGGGGGGCGGGTCGGAGGACAACCGACTCGCCCCTCCGTTGGCGCGGGAGCCCTGGCGTAAGCTAGGGCGGCCGGGCGGCGTCGTGGTGAATGTTCACTGATCCCACGGCGCCGACTCAACCGGCGAGAGGGAAACCCGGGGGGGTTTTAGTGGGGTAGGCCCTCCAGCCTGGAGGGAGAGTCCCCACATAACCCCTGAGTCTCCCTGGGCTCAGGGGTATCCATAAAGATTTCCCACCCGACAAAAAAAAAAAAAAAAAAAAGGCTAAATCGTCTCTTAACATGTGAACAGTGCTCAGCGCGACGTTTAATGGATTGATACCGTAAAAAGAAATCTAATATGCCAAACAACCACCTCGATTACCTGGTTTCAAACTAGGGAATCCTATGTACTATGAGTACCAGAGCAACGGAATTCACACAAGGTCCTACCCGAACAAATATCCAGATAAAAAAAGTTCATTTTTCCAAATTCCTACCGGCAATCGAACCCAGGACCTCCACACCCAATGCCCACAGTCCCATATCTTTCTACATAATTTTTCTTTATAGTGACCTCCCTATCAACCTCTTGGTTATGCGGGAAGGGCACTATGAGCAGTGCGTGCAAACCCGCACAGAGACACTCTAAGTCAGGTCCTAACCCCGGATCAGCCAGTTTGCACGGACTTCATCCAGTAAGCCTTAGGTGAGCCGTCCCTGGTGCACGCACAGCACCCTCCCTATTTTCCAGATAGCTAGCGGAGTGTGAAGGCACGCTCACTTCCCGATTGTTGCCACCGCTGAGCCGCCGACTATAAGTCGACTATTGCATCTCCTCATTGGTGGCAGAGCTAAGCACGCTCACTTCCCGACGCTGAATGAACGGCGTCTCTTCAGTTCTTAAATCCCTACGCGGCCGGAGAGACTGGAAGATGTCTAGCTCATCCTATACCCACATCCAATGCCCACAGAACAAATCATCGGGCTACCCAGGTCGTCAATGTATACTTAATAGTTGGCCCAAATAGCCTATATAGTCCTTATATAGCCTTCTCTTACAATGAGAGTAGTTGGGCTGTAGTTTCCACGCGAGCCTCATGTGGATTGGGAACTTCACACACATCATTCTGCTGCTTTCCAGATGTGTGCAGGTTTCCTCACGATGTTTTCCTTTACAAAAAGCTCATGGTGAATTTCAAATTCAATTTCATATATAAAATAACAAAAAACTGCTCTGCTTGTGAGCTCCGAAGAAATAGTCTCAATTTTGAGGTTCTTGAGTCTGTTAATAGAGGTTACGATACTGATATTCCACCACCTACACACAACGAGACATCCAAACCCAAATTCAAAGCAATGTACCGGCAACACTTACTCTCACTTCTAAAATCTGTGTAATGTGTTTTTATTCTTTTACTTTTCTCTGTTCATATTATGTGTATACATTATATTATATACTAAAAATGCATTTAAACCTCTTTACAATCACAATTTACTCCTACAGCTGTAATTATATTCACACAGGCTCATGCACTTACATATCAATTAGGTTATTTTAGATGCACTATTTACACTATGTATATTATTATTCTCAATTTATAACTTTACACATAGTCGTCATATTTTTACTTCAAGTAACTCAATCCCTCTCGTTGGTCCAGATTGAAAACCAGCGCCTTAGGAAACTTTGGCATATGCTGAGCGCCCTTTCACTGGTATGACAATCATGTTATGTTTTTTCTTTTATCTTAATCTGTATTTGTGTTATATCAGTGAATAAAGTGTTTATCT